GACGGGGGAGACGGCTGCCCCAGTGGGAGAGGCGGCGACGGCGGCGGCCGACGAGGAGGAGGGGGAAGCGGCGAAGGGTAAGCGGACAGCGCTGCCGGGCCTCGGCGGGATCCCCTGCCCGGCGCCCCGCGCCTCCCGCTGCCCGGGGACTCGCAAGGCCCTGGTGGGGCGTCCGCGCCCTCCTCGCCCTCGTCCCCCCCCCCGGCTCGCGGTGGCGAGGCACGGCGAGGCCCCCCAAGTCCTGCAGGGCGGGTGGGGGCGGGGAGCGGTGGGCCTGGCCTGGGCTCCAGGGAGTCGAGGGGGAGGGGGACCGGGCCTGCCCAGGAGCCGAGCGCCGGAGAGAGCACCCCGGGGGTGCCTTGCCCCTGGCCCTCCCCCAGGCCTGCGGTCTGGAAGTGGGGGGCACTGCTTTGGGGGAGCCCCACTACTTTGAGGGAGCCCAGGTCTGGAGAAGGATGGTTTAGGGGCCGGGGTGTCTAGAGAGAGCCGGGGAGGTTGTGTTATGGGTCGGAGAGGAAGAACACCGCTTTTTTCCCCACTTTGCTTTTCTTCAGCCTTCCTCGAAATGGGGAGCACGGCTGTGAGTAGGTGGCCCCTTTGAGGCCACTGGATTATTCTGGTTTTCTTGACCGGTTCACCAGACCGTGCGGTAGGGTTAAAACGGGGAGGCTCGTGAGGGTCTCTCGGAGTTGCTGACAGGTGACAGGTGGATCTTTCTGTTGCTGATGCTGTGGGGTTGTGCGTGCAGAGCTGTATACCGAAGTGTCAGCGTGAGCGTTTGTATTTACGTGTTTGGCCGAGTTTCGTTCCATATATAGTATATTTGAGATGTTGAGTTTCCATTCAAGTCAGCTTAATTGTTGTGGAGGAATTCTTCAAATGTTTCTGATAAGAGGGATTTCCAGGAGAGTGGAGGGAATTTGCAGCTTCCCTGGGCTCTCTGAGTGCTTCATGAAATCCAGGTTCCCCAAAGCACAGGAGGCTTGATCAGGGGGCCTTTATTCATTGGAAAGTTCGTGACCACGAAAATCCGTATTCTGGGCAACAGAAATGAAGTATAGTTTCGTATCCATTTTGTCAGCTGTAGGTAAGTTTGTAAAGTGCCAACTTTGGGGGTCAGGTTGATTCACATTTTATAAGAGGAATTGGTAATTGGTTTCTGCTTAGCACACTAAAAAGATATTGCTCGTTATGTAGTTTCAGATTTGGTCGGGCATTTCGGTGGGCATAGATTTTTTTTTCTTTCAGTTTTCACTAACTGCTTACCACACTCAGGACAGTAGCAGAGTTTTGACACCTTTCAGGCATACTTTTAAACTCTTTGTAACAATGAGTTCAAGGTTGATTTTTAAGCATGGCAATTTGAAACTAAATTTTGAAAACAGTTTCTATTAAAGGAAGTTTTGCCTTTTATTTTACTGTGTGCTTTAACTGGCTACTTAGAATCCTTGGGAAGAATTTTCAGGTTCATGAGCTCTGTACTAAATCAGTGACCAGATTGAGGAATTGTATAATGTGCATCGAATGGTTGTGTTGAATGATGGCACTATATCAGTGTGTTAACGGGAAAGTGAACAAAAATTCCAGTGATTCAGAACTTCTCTTTGCCACCCCCTAACTCTGATCACTGTATAATAGAGAGTGCTTTATGATTCCAATCTTAAAGAATCAAACCGAGAGCTGAACATGTTAATTACTATGTTCCCCACTGAACATACATTTCATTTTTCTTTCGGTTGCATGAAATAATTTTTCCTGAGTTGAAGGTGTTTTCCAAAGGGTGCTCGTGAAATACCACTTTTCAGATCTTCTTTACTGACATCTCATAATAGAACTTCTGTTATTATAATTCATTAATAGGTGGATGAAATTATCAGAGGTGCAAATGTACATTTCCCAAAAAGTAAATTTTAACATGAAATTGAAGGAACATTTGTGTTTGCTGTTTGTAAAAACGAAGCATTTCCCTTTCAACTAAGGATATGGTGAGATGTGTACAGTTACTACACCTAACGGAATGAGGTAAATTCTGCACAGTTAGGTAGGCACTACCTAGATCCCTAATTGTATTGAGTATTTACACTTTGGCAAATGTCTTAACATGGTTGATCTTATGCAATTTGCTCTGTGAAGAAAATCCCCAAAGTACTGTTTAGAAAGCAATATACTTATGTATCAATAAGCCTACTTCATTTGGATATAGGTAACGTGTAGACTGTTTCATTCTGTGAGTTGCAGACCAGAGAAATTCTGGTAGTCTGGATTTTCTAAAACTAAAGTGTGTATGTACACATAAAGTGTTTATTTTTATGAATATTGGCATACTTTAGAAAATAATCTTTGCCTTATTACAGATTTTTTTTTTTTTTTTTTTTTTTTTTTGGTCTTTTTGAGACAGGGTTTCCCTATAGCCCCAGCTGGCCTGGAACTCACTTTGTAGACCAGGCTGGCCTCTGCCTCCCAAGTGCTGGGATTAAAGATGTGCACCACCACGCCCGGCCATATTACAGCTTTTTAAGTTCCTGGAAATATACAAGATTCAACAATTAAAATTTTAGATTTCATTATGTCTCTACTTGGCCATATCCCATGACCCAGAACAATAATAGCATCTTTCTTTTTTTGTTTTGTTTTACTTGTGCCATCTTTAATCCTAAACTGGGACTCTTTAAAGTCAAGGATTATGAGATAATAGAGACAAGGATGAAGATTAGTGCAAAACACTAATGCAGAGATGGGGAATAAGATGCTGTGAAGGAACAGATGAATAGTTTTGCAGCTAGGAATATGGAACTGTGGGTACTGGTTGCTGCCAAGTACAGGAAAAAAGACTGCTGATCAATTCTAAAGAGATTTCACTCTGCATCTTCTGATGGGGCCTCATAAGCTCTACAGTATAGCCCTCTTAAAACCAATATAGATGGTAAGAGATTTGGAGATACTGAAGTTTCATGAAAATTAAATACATGCTCCTATTTACTGACTTCTAGCTTATATCTCCAACATACCAGTATTTTAACATTTTTTGTCCTGATTATTCTCATCCTAAAAATATCAAGAACACATGCTTAATCAGAAAGCCATAATTCCCAAGGCTATATTCTTGGGGGTACCAGGTACTGTCTTAACTTTGTATAATCCCTAAACCCATCTGTGCTCTTGCTAACTGGGGGGCAGGATTAAAGGGAAGATACTGTGTTCATTTTCTAATATCCTCATCCCTCAAAACAGCTTGCTTATTATAAGTGGTGCTTTGCCCATGTTTGGCCTTCTAGTTTTTTGTTTTTAAAAAAGGAAGGTGCGGGGCGTGGTGGCGCACGCCTTTAATCCCAGCACTTGGGAGGCAGAGGCAGGCAGATCTCTGAGTTCAAGGCCAGCCTGGTCTACATAGTGAGTTCCAGGACAGGTGGGGCTACAGGGAGACCCTGTCTCAAAAAGACCAAAAAAAAAAAAAAAAAAGGAAGGAAGGAAGGTGGGGGTTGCCAAAAATAGTGGTCACAAAGCCTCATGTGTTGAGGTTATGCGTTTCCCTTCCATTCTGTTGACTGCTTTTGCAGAATGCACATGCTCTGTCATGTCCTAACCCTTAGAGAGGAGCAAGCACAGTGAGCAGTGCTAGCTTGAAGGTTTATGTTTGAAGGTCTCGAAAGGCTTAGGTTTTGCCACTTAAAGTGCATTAATTCAAAACTTCATTTATTTTGGACCTCCCCCCTACCCCTTATCTTCCAGTGAAGTTGGGTAAATAATGCTTTGCTGAGTAGGACCTTTATTTTATTTGCCTTGTTCAGTTTGTTTGAGACAGGTCTTAATTTGAGCCCAAGCTGGCATCAAATTCAAGATTCTCATACCTCAACTTCCTAAGGGTTGTGTTTATAAGTACATACCTACCTGCTTCGTTTGTTTTTAAGGCAAAACTTTGAATAGGACATTTTCTTAAATTTCTCATCATCTATTCCAGTTCTGATTTTGGTACTATAGAAATGGTATCCTGATAGTAAAGAAAAAGGTACTAATTAATAATTATTGAATTCCTACTATGTTTTTATTCATTTCACAAATATTAAGCACTTACCATTGTCTTGGATGAGTCTAAAGGCTGGAAATGTAATACTGAATAACAGAATTTTCAGTTCTCATATAGTTTACATGTAAGTGGTAGAAGACACAATAAATGAGTAAACAAGTGTGTCTGGAGGGAAGAGTACTGCCTAATGAGTATGTTCTTGATTTCAAAAAGCAAAACTACCCAGTACAAGTTTTTTCTTGGAATAAAACTATACTTCATAACTTGGAAACAAGATTATATTTGTGCTTCAGAGTTACAAATAGTTAACAGTTTTGAATAATAGGGATTTCCTGTTGTTAATGCTGTCCAATAGAGATTTTTGGAATTTACCATCCTTGTTTGAGTCCTGGTTTTTGCCACTTGTTGGGTTGCGACAGGACAGGGGGCCAATAACTAGTTCTTAGCTTCTCTGAACCTAATTTCTAATTTATAAACTAATAATCTAAGGTTGTTATGATTATGCAAATTAATTATAAAGTGTCAGTGAATTATAACATTTTTATTTACTGTCTTTCCGGAATTCTATAAGATAAGTGGAGTTGGTGACTGTAGAAAGCTGTAATAGCTAGCACTATATGTACACCATTTAATGTACATTTTATTTGGCCATCTAAAGCAGTTTTGCCTGATACAGAAAGTTAAAGTGTTGCTCTGTTACTGAGCATTGAAGCTTGTTGTCTAGTGTACTGTCAGGCATAACCTTACAGCCTTCTAGTGAAGGAACATTGTAGGCTTGTCATACATGTTGATAAGCTGGATCTAAGTACTTTAACAAATGGACAGTGAATACTGTGTAAAATTCAAGTTTAAACATTTAGCATAGTGTGTGGCACATAGTAAATATTCAGTGTTCACCTGTCAGTTTTTCTACTTTATTGTATAAACAAGGGCATTTCAAAGACTTTACAAAGTATGAAAGAAAACATTCACAAAGGTAAAGTGTACAAATTATGAAGTTTTTGAGGAAGAACAAAATAGTCATTCAAATTGCAAAAGTTTTTTTTCATTTAA